ATACACCTAACACTGCTATAGATTGCTGGCCAAATACAGAAGGACCAAAATAGATTTTAGAAGGGCTAAATAAAAGTGCATTCACCCTATGACAGACACAAACAAAACACTCAATATTGGATTTTCTGAGAGTTTTAAAAACATCGAGAATCACTTATCAAATCAGAAACACATCACTTATCAGAATTTTAAACATTTCTAAACCAAATGGACGAGGATAAAACTTATTATCTCTGTTAAAACAGTTTACGGATTTTACTTTTCTCTATTTTTATCAGATACTAAGTCACAGAAAATATTTAAATTTATTAAATTGTTGAAACACATTCAAAATACTTCTTTTCTTCAAAAGCTTTCAAATAAAGCATTATTCATAATTAATTGAGATCACATGAGACGAAAACCACTTATCACATTTTTATGTGAAATCAAATTTACTTTTAATGTCCTGTACGAAATCAAATTCTTATTATGGATTAGCCACACGGAAATTGATCAAACCACATTTAACTTTATATACATGAAAATAATAGATTACTTATTTTTCGAGCACAAGATCAATTAAATATAGCACTCATGCAATTTCATATTATAAAATACTAGTGAGAAGTGAACTCAGCTCTAGTGGATATCACTTCCTTAAAATATCACTCCTCTTGATATGAATCAGGTCCTATAATATAAAGATATAAAAGTAATATTAATTCAAAACAATCATATATTATAGGTTAATTGCTCGATATTCTAGGGCCAAATAGAGTCACATATAATCAAATAATAATTAAAACTTATAAATAGGGTACACATGTTCTTATTGCTAATTTTAGCAATCTAGCAATACTTTTGGACCTCTTAGCAAAATTATGGCAAGAAAGAGGGCTATAGAGAATTAATCAAGCCTAATAGTTATCTTTATTCTTCAGCTTGGACCTATTTCCAAACAAAGAAAATAAGAGGGGTGTATACGTAAACATCCTTGCCTATTCATGGTTTAAACATTATGTTTGGGCCTGTTAGTATATTAACAGAGCAACATGGTCTAAACAAAAATTTTCATTTGTTATATCTTTTGGACCTATTTGTAAATTCATAAACTTTCAAGGGTTCCAAAGAAATTTTGTTATTTTATCTTAGTTTCTCTTTCTCTCCCCTCTATCTCTTCTTCTTCCTCCGACCCCCTTTTCTTCTTCTGTTTTTTTGCCTGATGTTGCTGTTGATCAGGTCCTCATGCTGCTCGGTCCTTTGCTCCTTTGTCGGGGTGACCTCACGACGGTGAGGCCTCGTCAGGGACCATGACGGTCGGCAATGAGGTTCTCGCCGGAGCTAGGTAAATTTTTTTAATACATTAATTCTAGAACTCAATTCATCATCTATTTGCTGTAAATCACTTGCTTATTGAATTTAGAATGCTAGAATTTAGCTTAGGAAAGATAGAAGGTTATACCTTTGGTTGGATTAGGTTTAGGGTGAATCTTCTTCTCCTTCTCTTTCTCTTCCACTATCTTTCAATTTTCCAATAGGTTTTATTAGGAGGATGAGTCTTCTTGGGTTTTTTTTCCTTTTCCTTTGATTTTTACTTCGTTTCCTTGGAGTTTTTATACGAAATTCTCCTTAATAATCCCTTTCATGAGGTGGTGCTAACGCCCTCCTGTAATTGCTGAATGCCATTAAACCTACCTAGGTGGCAATTACCAAACCATAAATTGGTATTTTGCACAACACCTTTCAAACTTTGTGATTTACTTGTACTTCTCCCTTTTTTTAATGAACAATTTAGTTGGGGATATTACACTCTTCTCTTTTTATACTTAGAGACAAAGGCTTCTAGGGTATACTTACTTTCAGCGAGAATGTCTAAAGTTCTTATAATATTATTTTTATGAATATCCAAAATTTCTTATTTTACTGTTAAAAGTAATAATACCTTTTTAGAAAAATTTGAAGAATATTGGAAACAATTAGAATAATTTTTTTGATATTTTAATAAAGCATTAAACTTAAATAAACACTTAGAAAATTTTGCAAGAGCTTGATGCCTCATCAAATTTCAATCTCATAAGGTAAAAGAAAATTCTATCACTCAAATCAAGCAACATATCACTCAAACCAAGCGACATCTACTTGTTCAAATCGAGCAAATTTCTCGAAAGAATTAAAATATTTCTATAATCCAAGATTATAGTCCACTGATTATATGCTCATTAATGATTTATGGAACAATAGATGTGCTCAAGAAAAAAGCAAATCAAAGTTTATATGATCATTCAATCTATCTTTTAAAGAAAAAGATGAACAATATGCTAAATAAAAATAATCAAATAAGAGAGAAAAATTTATAGATCTTTTGTTCGAGATTATCACTATCTTTATTCTCATTAGGTAGCATATATTATAACAGTTAAAGATGATAAATTGTGATGCAATATCGGATCACAGCTAAAAAGGATAGCTATCAAAACTTCAAACAAAATGGCAAATCCAGCTGAAAAGACTGCATATAACGTACTGTTAAGATACAAATACTCCTATTTTGGATTCCTAATTTGGATATTTTTGCTTGAGAAATTCATTGCTCCTACCTACCTATGCTAAAAAAGTACTCTATGATCTATTTCATGATAAGTTATGAAAAAGTTATCTTTATTGGTCCCATGCATCATGAAAGAGCATCTACAAATAGTGTCAAAAGAAGGAATGGACTTTATAAATAAAGGAGAATGTCATGAAGCTAAAAGAGACTCTTGAAAAAGAAGAGAAAGAAAACTATTAGTGTTTTCCTCTCTTGTTTTTCTTCTCATGAAGTTAAAAGAAGGAATGGACTTTATAAGTAAAGGAGAATGTCATGAAGTTAAAAGAGGCTCTTGAAAAAGAAGAGAAAGAAAACTATTAGTGTTTTCCTCTCTTGTTTTTCTTCTCATGTTTTTAAGTTTGTGTGTGAGTTTTTCTTTATAAATTTCTTTTTGTGAGTGTTTGTAAGATAAGATTGTGAGTGTGAGTGTGTTAAGTGTGTACTACTACTACTCTAGTGCTGGCTAGTTCATCTCCTAGCTATTAGTTTGTGTGAGTTATTCTGGTATGTAAGTTTACTCTCTATAAATATTACTACCTAGGTTATGTTTAATCTTTATGTTCTCTTTATACTATTGTTCTTTATTTACTTTCTTTTGGCTTCCATTATCTATTTTCTTACTTTTATTTTTTACTTTTTTTCTATTCTCAGATATAGATGTAAACAAAGAAGAAGATATTGTTATAAATAGTATCTATATCCTCTTCTCCATCCATGCTACACTCCTCACATGCTAGCTTTCTCAAGAAGTTATTATAGGAGACCCACTCTTGCAGATATGCAACTTGAAGAAATTAAAATTATCATAAGATAAATTTTGATTAAGATAAATTTTGATGGTAATTCTATTGTTAAGTGGAATCTTGATCGTTATACTGAATATCAAGCACTAGCATCTTTTACAAGAATTGCTTACTTATGTCAACGCCTGTAGACAACAAGGTAATCCTAAATAGGACATTGCCAGTGGTTTGTGTTCATCTTTTTATGGTCATACAAGGTTGGTGGGATCATTATCTCACTAAAACAGAAGGAATAACATTCTAAATAGCCATAAACAAAAATCAATTAGGAGAATCAATTCTTGACAAAGGATATTATCTTAGTGATGCGGTCTACACCTTGCTCCGTTCATTTTAGTTGTTAGAATTAATATCAAATTATAATCTTTGACCATCACCTTTAAGTTTTGGTCTAATGGTAAGCGGGACTTAAATTAAGATGATATCGGAGCAACCTAGATTCAAATCTCACCGGCCACGAATTTAAAGCGAAATTTTTAAAAAATGATACCACTACGTGAGTTCAAATTTCAGCCCATAATAAAGGGCGCTCAACCTGCGAGCACCTGTTATAATTGATATAAAATTATAATCTTCGACCCTCACCATAACTTCGAAGTTTTGGTCTAATAGTTAGACGGATTTAATTTAAGATTGTCACATCAAAAGTTGTGAGTCTCACCACTTACCCAATATATATGTATATATATACATATATATATATACATATATATATATATATATATATACACATATATATACATATACATATACATATATATACATATACATATACAAAATATATACACACACATATGTATATGTACATATGTGTGTGTATATTTTGTATATGTATATGTATATATATGTATATGTATATATATAAAGCTTGTTTGCTGGGTTTTTTATAGCTTCAGAAGCTTTCAGTTTTGTTTTTATTTTAAGTAAAGCTTGTACAACCGATTCTTCTGCTGATAACCCTATCTTGTTTAAAATTAGATCCTTGGGTCATATATACTGGAAAAACCAATAGTTCCTCCTTACTTAGACCCGAGGAACAAAGAAAACATGTCACTTAAAATATTCTGGAAATTTAGGTGGCGATATGTTAGCACGAGAAATATGTTGCGCTGACAAAAAATGGCCTATAGTACCGATTCATATTAAAATAGTGCATTACCAAGACCTTAATCTTTTCCTCTCAAGTTTGCTTTATTCAAGCGTTTATTTATCCAGAAATAGATTTGTTGTTATCTCAATAGGCATTGGCTTTTTAGTTCCTCTTCTGAAAATTTCCCCTGCCTGGTAATATGAACACAATATATTACACATATTCTATGCTTGTCCTTCAGTCTACTGTCCTAGTGTCCCTCTGAATAAGTATAGAATTTTAACCAATGTACAAAAAAAAAAAGGAATTGCTACATTAAAACCCTAGAAAAGTAACAAAGTTCTTTTATTAGTAGAGTTAAGTGTTTGGCATGTTAGTTGTTTCTTTACCTTGCTTTCTCATAATTATTAAAAAATACGTAACACGGTAACAGATTTTTTTTCTTTCCCAGGTGAATCAATATATTCTCTCTTACTTATTAGTTTTCTGCTATAGATTTAGAGTTCCAGTTGATGTTCATTAGTTAGCTTCTCTGCAGATGCTCATCGGCAAAGAATTGTTAATTGGATCAATGCCACTGGAGGCACCTCATCTGCATTTGATGTCACAACAAAGGTACTTTGTCGAACATTGGAGAAAATGCATGCTAATGAAACTTGAGGAGTATACAATAAGTGTTAATGTTAGCGTTTAGTTGTAAGCTTCTACAAGAAAGGGTTCAGGTTGGTGTGCATGCACATACAAATTCCTACATCCAGTAAAATTAGGTTGAATTAGCAACTGAAGTCAAGCACACAACTCCAACATATTAATTTGATTCCTTGAAACCGTTGGTGACTCCGAGGGTCAATCTTGTCAATTGGACTGATCATTTTTAATTGACTTTTGAGTACATTGGAAATTGGAGACCAATATGGGGTTTAATTCTCCTAGCTCGCAGCTATTTGGTAAACGATTTAGACTTTAAAGCAAGTTAAATCGCATAAAAAACCCAATTAAAAAATACTTTGCACCTAGTGTTAATTTGGTTGGAAACAGTTAATGGTGTTTTTGATAATTAATGGTGTACCCATGGAGTGTTGGTTTCTGACAAGTACATGGGAAGCGTGATAATATTCATACTTTATAGCTTAGGGTCATCACCTTCATGATGGAAAATGAGAATAATTTTGCACTAATCACCATGATTATGACCAAGGTAAGAGGAGTAATGGTGCTTTAGGGGTATTTTCTGAGGTTCATGGAGATGACAAAGGTGAGGATCTTGAAGGCTCCTGGATAGTTCCTGACCTTCAATCAGGTTGCTCTTCCTACTCCTTGGTAAGTTAAAAAAAAGGTTTCTCGATAGGGGACAAAAAACCTCGAGGGAAGTCGTGAAGCACTTGGGTCCAGTGCTTGTGTGTTTCTCTCAGCAATACCGGCTTATGCATGTTCAAAAGGAAATTTGAAAGGATTGGTTGAAGGAGTAACATGAAGATCAGAGTGTAAGAAATTGCTATTTAATTTAGAGAAATTGTGTAATCAATTTGTTCTACTGAAAGTGGTTGTTTGACAAAACAAATGAAAGCCATAGATGTGAACAGGGGCGGATTCATGTGACCCACTACTAAAATTTTCAATTTTACACCCTAGTAATGTTTACAATCTGCCCCTTCATAAACTTTAAAAATTGCATCCTAACCTCTCTCACCCTCCCTCCCTCCCTCTCCCCCCTCCCCCACCCCATCCCCCCAAAAAAAATTTAAAAATGGTTAAAACCTGAACAAAATTCAAATATTTTTAATATATCAAGAATGCAAAATAATAAATTAGTTTTGTTTGTCAAATAGTTTTTTCATTCACTAAAATGTAAGATGAATATATCGTTAATGGATTATTCTTTACTTTGAGAATTTAAGTCATATAGAAATTAGACATTGTAGAAAGGAAAATGTGTGCGAATTGGTAAGTAAATACTAGTAAAAAAATAACTATTGATTTATTAAAACAATAGTTTGATATTGATTATCTCGCTTAACTCTTTTTTAGTTGTAGATAAATGTCTCAAGAAAAGTCATCAGTGGAGCAGAAACCATCAACTACTCCAAATTTAAATAATCTTGGGAATTTACAACCTAGGACAAAACACGTGACGTCCTAATGTTTAGTCCCACATTAGTGGGTAAATGAATTTTTGAGTGGTTTATATAGTAAAGCCAAAGACTCAATTGTAACATCGGTTATTCGATTTTGGTAGTGGTTTGAGCCAAATAACACGCTACACTAAGTGGGTCTCACTGATCATACCGCAACAACAAATCATGGGCCCGGGGCATGTCAAAACATTAGTCTTTTGAGAATAACACTACATTTGTCATGCCTCAGACCCGCAAGCCTGTTGGCGTGGTGTGAGCTGTGGGACCCACTCAGTGTAGTGTTGTTTGGCTCAAACCACTGCCAAAATCGACTGGCCGATACTACACTTGAGTCATTAGCTTTACCATATAAACCACTCAAATATTCATTCACCCACTGATGTGGGACTAAACATTGGGGCATCACAAAACAAAAGTGAACTTGAAAGATCTTCTGGTAAGAAAAGCTGGATAAAGTGGTAAATTTTCTGTTATCTGTCCATATACTTTTCTTGTCAAGATGTTCTCTATATCCCTATCTATTATTCTGCCAATTCCAAGTTAGTACTATTTCTTTTGGGAGACTTCCATAGCTCGTGTCAGTCAGTTTGGGTAGTTTTGTTTTATTTAATGTGATCGTTAACACCCAGCTTCAAGCCTTTGGATAAAGTGGTAAGAAAAGCTGGATGGGAATAGCCATGTAGATGACTACAATTGATCGGGTAACAACTTTATTGTTACCTTTCCAAGTTAGTAATCTTCCTAATGGGATCGTTTATATTTGGTATCCATATATTGTGTTTACATTTAGAAAAGGCCCTCATTTTATGACATGGAAATGTTATGTGAATGACATGCATATAGTGATTCATATTAGCTATTCTTTCTTTCTTTCATGGCCATAAGTTTTCAAAAAAAAAAAGGGCTCCTTTTTGCAACTACAGCTGCGAAAAGGTTACAGCTGAACTTGCATTAAAAGTAACAAACAATTGAAACTACATTGATATGTCCTTTGGCCAACTGTTGGAATTTGCAACGAATCAAATGACTTCAAGGTGAAAGATGGTGTATATAATGAATAAAAACGCACAATTCCTTTTAGGAAACATAAACATCTGTTCACTTTCACATGCATGTGAGAAATATTGTACCAGTATATTGAATGCTTTCTTAATTTGTAAGGTGGAAAGATTCTTGTACCTGACCCAAAATCTTAACATAAAAACTTGTTATCAGGCATGAAATGTTGCAGTCTATGCACAAAGTAAAGTAAGATAATGGCCTTCTTTTGTATACTTAAGTACCAATCTGTGACTCAACGACTATGAGCTGGTATCCAAATAGACTATGCGCGTGATACTGTCAGACCTTGCAATGATTTGCCGTTATGGGTATATGATAAGTTCTTGAATAGTTTTGAATTATGATAATTCAAAAAAATGTTACTGGTCTATGCTTATGTACAGAGCAGAGGGTCTATGGTTATGTGATCCTTATGTGAGAAATATAGCACAATTTACTTGTGTACATGCTCAGAAAAGGTGTTCATGAGGGACTCTCAGCGGTCAGCACGAAGTTGAAAGTGTGACTTGTATAATATTACAGGCCAAAGGTAACACCCAGAGTGTGACCAAAACAATAGTTTTTTAATAGAAATCATAGATGTCCGGAACACGGTACACTACCGAATTCAAGCGTGTTCCAACGCAGCCCAGTTCACCAAATCCAGCGACCCCATCTGAAATTGAAATTAGTTAATATTTTGGAAAAACAACTATTTTCAGAAAAATAAACAACAAAAGACATTGTTAATTGTGACTCGAGAATTTTTTTACCATCACCGGTTCTTAAATTTTACTCTTGCACCGGTTCTTAAATTTTACTCTTGCAGAAAATTGTACAGAAAGGCACTCAGATTCCCACATTTAAAAGCTGAATCTAAGCATACCACGTTCCCTAGTGTACCATATAAGTCTACCCCCTCGTACCCGATTTCAAATAAGTGACGTACCACCCTCCTGTTCTCATCCCGTGAGCCAGAACGAACTGGGTTCCATGTGACTATGATGGAAATATTTGTGTTTTTAATGGAGTACTACATATTTGCACCTTTAGCATTTACTTGTTCTATTTAATTTAGAACCATTTTATCACCAAAAAAAGGTGCAAATTCAGCATATTGTCATCATATATCATTTATTTGTACAGGGCATTCTCCATTCTGCGTTGCATAATCAATACTGGAGACTAATAGACCCACAAGGGAAACCAACAGGGGTGATGGGATGGTGGCCCTCACGTGCAGTCACCTTTCTAGAGAATCACGATACAGGATCTACCCAGGTCAGTTGATCTTTTTATGTCGTGTCAAATTTTAAAGACTTGGATACTTTAATATGGAAAAAGAGCAAGATGCCTAGCTGATCAAATTACGAACTTCATTTATCAGGTTATAGATATACTTCATGTGTTGTCAATGTGGCCTAACATTTAGATAGTATAAAGACGATGATTATCATGGTATAGCTATGACCATCCTCTTTGGTCTCATGATGTGCCCATTGCGTGTTAAATTTACGATGTTCTGTATGATATGTGTAAGATAAATTATAGAGAGCTTATGTAGCTTCTACTGCTGTATGAACCCGTTCCTAATAAATAATAATTTCCAGTTAATACTTTCTAGTGAGAAACCCAGGGGCAACTTTCTTTTTCTGACTTTCAGATGTTGATGCTTGAATCAGGGACATTGGCCATTTCCACGGGATAAGCTTGCGCAGGGATATGCATATATTCTCACTCATTCTGGAACGGTATTTGATCCTGTACTTCCTTTGCTTGTTCAAATGTACTACAATAACATGCTGCAAACTTCTTCCAGAATTTGAAAAAATGTGATAATTTTCCTGGGATTGCAGAAAATATGAATGAATAATTTGAAAATAAATCCTTCATGAAATTTTCTCTACTTAAATTTGGACTAGATTGGTGGAATAAAATTTCATTACTAGATTGGTTGAATAGGATTTTTACTCCTTTTTTTTTGTGGGGAAGCAAAGGACGGGGCATCACACAGATCCCCAACCTATCTACTAACTATTCGTTGAATAGAAAGTGATGGGAAGAATATGAGCCCTGTCTTTCTATCTATCACACCCCAGGCAGCCTGTTGGCACGATGTAAGCCCAGGGACCCATTGAGTGCGACACACTGTTTGGCTCAATCCACTGTCAAAATTGACTAATTAATGTTACACTTGGCTCTCAAGACCTGTCATTTAAACCATTCAATTACTCAATTAGTATCCGATGTGGGACTAACTCTTGGGGTATCACAATCTCCCCACCTAAGTTACGCGAAGTCCTCGAGTGGTACCCCAAGAGTTAGTCCCCACATCAGTTATTGATTCGGTTATTGAATGGTGTAAGTGATGGGTCTGGAGAGCCAAGTGTGACATTGACTAGTTAAGTTTAGCAGTGGATTAAGCCAAACCACGTGTTGCACTCCATGGGTCCTAGGGCTTACATCGCACCAATGAGCTCGCGGGCCCGGTTCATGACCTTGTCCTTTCCATCAAAATGAAATACATCTTTGCGTCTCGTAGCGACTACAATAAATGCTTCAACAGAGATAAGTCCTTCACATGAAGGTTTCCCGATAATCATTTGTTTTAGAATTCTATTTTTGGCAAATCATTCTGTGCTAACCTAAGTATCATTGATTTTAATTTGTAGCCTGTGATATTCTATGATCACTTCTATGACTTTGGTCTCCGTGACACAATCACTGAGCTGATCGAGGCTAGAAGGCGAGCTGGAATACACTGCCGGAGCACAGTCAAGATATATCATGCAAATAATGAGGGTTATGTTGCTCGAATTGATGAGAGCCTTGTGATGAAGATCGGACACTTTGATTGGAACCCCTCGAAAGAGAACAATTTGGATGGAACTTGGCAGAAGTTCATGGATAAAGGGTCAGATTATCAAATCTGGTTGAGACAATAAGAGCTATAATTCCTGTAAGATAGACTGTTAAGTTATCGACAACTCACATAGTCAAGAATGTACCCTTTGTGTTACTTAAGAAAAATAGTTAAATATAATGCCACAAGTCAAGCAGACGTGAATAAAGTACTTTGGGAATATGTGTAAAGAGTCGTATTAGGGGATTAGATGTCTATTAATGAGATTTTTTTAAAGCTCAATTATATATGTTACAACATTTTTTGAGTGGGACCCAAATTTGAAATTTTGCATTACGACTCTGATATGATCCATCTTACAGAAGAATACAAACTATGACTCTGAAATGATCCATCTTCAGTATCATAGCTTCCCTTGGTCAGTTTTTTTAAAGTAAGTTTAAAAAAAAAAAAATTACCGATCAGCGGAAAAAATGGACATGGAAGTCAAAAGGACGAAAGTTTCCATCAGCAACCAATAATTGATTATTTGTTCTCATATAATAAGTCTTTCTAGATTTGATCTGTGAAATCTTAGATCAAATAAACGTTGGATTGGTACTAGTATACTTTCTCTTGCATAAAATTTTCACAGTGGAATTGTGAATAACAAGAGTAGGGACCACGATCATTTTACTAGGTATTACTATTATTAGAAGCACACATCCGTCTACATTTTTTTTTATTTTTGTATTCCTTACTGAATTTGACCGCCCTCTTAATTGGTTTGGAAAAACTTGCCTCATCTGTGAACAAGAAATAGACATGCGAGCAAAAAGATCATACCAAACCCGAGAAAGTTTCCACCAAAACCCAATGATCAGAATCCTGCATTTCCCATGGGTGGCAGTGTAGCAACGGCTTTGGCTTCATTCTTCATACGAAAACATAGTGACCAGGACATGGTATTTGACCGTACGAGTAAGGAATTCGGAGTTGAGGGGAAAAAAAATGATGAACTTGCAAAAATCCATGGAGATGCAGGGGATCGAACCCTGTACCTCTCGCATGCAAAGCGAGCGCTCTACCATTTGAGCTACATCCCCGGTACGTGCGATGACTTTGTATTTTTATATTTGAGTGAAGTCAAAATCTATATCCACATCCATATTACTATATTAAAAACCTAGCGAGGGAAGGACTTTTTTGAAGGAAATGATAAAATTATCTTTCACACCACTAAAGACATCAGGAGAACTTTATCATTTCATAAAAGTTTTTCTTTTCTCTTTCTTTATTTCTAGAACTTACCATATCATATTATAGAGTATACAAATTAAGTATCTACTGCATTGTATATTATAAAAAAATGTATATAAGAAATGATAAAGTTATTTTCCATGCGGATACAATATAAATAAAAATTAAAATTTTATAGATGAAAGTGTATATTTAAATACTTAGCTCAAAAATAATAGAAATAAAATAATCTGAAGATGATGTATGAAAACAGACTCTTATTAATAATATATCTAGGAAAATTATGGCATGACTCAAATTGAAATTTTTTTCATAGCCAATATCGAATAAAATAAGATACAATATCACATATTAAATGGAAAAGTATCATAAAAGGATATTAGAAATTTGTATGATTCTTTAGGGTACTAAAGCAACCATTTTGTTCTCCCAAAAATAAAGCAACCATTTTAATTATTATAAAAAATTAAAATAGTCAAGTTTTAATATCTATTTTATGTGCATTTGCATGTAAATAATGCTACTAAGAGGGGAGTTTTCTGAGAGACCCCATAGTTGAGGGGGTTTTCTTAAACTTAATCCTAGAAACTAGGGGTGTGCAAATGGTTGATCGGGTTGGTTTTTGGTCAAATTTCGCCACACCGAACCGAACCGTCTATAATTCAAAACCGAACCAAACTGTTTACGTCGGTTTGGTACGGTTCGATTTGGTTTGTTCGGTTCCGACTTGGGTGTGAAATAAAGGAGTTTGAATTTCATGGTAGATGGACTGTTAGTTGACATAAAGTTATAAAAAACTTATTCATTTATTTACTATACAACCTTTATTTTGCTCTGTTAATAATCAAGAGCAATGCCTTTATTTTTTAATTTTTGCCTTAAAAATTAGAACCAAACCTTCTTTCAATAACCTGAAAGAGTAATGTAAATGCATAATATTGAAAAGGAAGATTGAGCACTCACCTGAAAATTTTGGATAGGATAGTATTAAGAATGCAGTTTCATAGCTTGTGAGATTAGCTATTGGCAATAATCAAATGCTCTAGACAATAGCTTGAATGAGGCATGAAAATAATCAAATAAATAAGACAATTAGAATATCGTTTACGAATGACCAGAAACATGTTTGACAAGGAAAAAAATTTAGTAAATCATGTTCTTGATAATGCCCATAAAATCTATCAGCTACTGCCCAAAATCAAACTGAGAGTATTTGATAGTATCAAATCAAAACAAAAACAAGTTTAAAATCGATAATTTCTTCTAGCATGGAGAAAATCAAAATTAGGATTTTAACATCATCTTCAACTGGGGGTGTATCCAAGGTAGAAGATGGATCTTGAGAGGAGGATTTGTCCATGGTGATGGAAACCAACGCAAGTAGAGAGAGATTTGCTAGATGAGACGTTTTGGAGTTGGAGGAAATGTTGTCAATGACCTAACTTTTTCAGTTGCTGTAGAGTGAGAGGAATGAGAAAGGGAGATAAAACTTCACAGTTGATAGGGATTTTATCTAAATGGGTTTAAACTTAGTGGGTATATGGGTAGCAAATCAATTGTATTAAAAATTTATTGCTTAAAAACTAGGTCGGCTCAGGTAGTTCAGGTTGAAAACTCTTCAACCCGACCCGAATCGAGCTAAAGCCAAAACCGCACCGAATTGTCACCTTTCGGCCGATTATTGTTTCGCCAGAGTCGATAGGTATTCTATCTAAATGGGTTCAAACTTAGTGGGTATATGGGTAGCAAATCAATTGTATTATGAATTTATTGCTTAAAGACTAGGTCAACTTTTTAAGTTTGAACCGAACGATGCTCACCCCTACTAGAAACAATTATGTTTATTTTTCGATAGCAGAAAAGGCAAACTAAAGTTTGCAGTGTAAAAGTACATCTAATAAAAGTTAGTTATGATTTGAAGGGGATAAATGAACTGATATAGTTCTCTAAGTGTGCAAAAATTGCATATCTTCGGTCAGTGGACAATGTGCCTATATATACCGAGCTAACGAGAGTATTTATATAATCTTGGTCGAGTCCATGCAGTCAGCGTAATTGGCTGATACTTTACAGGTATCGACTGTAGGTGGTATGAGTCACCCTTGTGATTAATGCGACGGTGGCAAAGAGAGTGATGTAGGTCACATAACGATCAAATTCATGGAGAAGTGGGACCTTCACGAGTCAAATGCGGATATAGATGAAATTATTGACAGATCGTAGAGAAATAACCATATCTCCCAATTCAAAAGGTAGATCTGACATATTATATATATATAAATCACTTATCTCCACAAGACGGAGTAAATCAGGTTGGCAGAATCCCACAATCCCATCAGCAACACCCATTTTGATAGGATTTCAAAAATAATCAGCCTTTAGTTTATTTTTAGTGATAAAGTTAGAGTTAATTTAAATTAGAAAATAAAATCAATTTTAATTTAATTAGGAATGATTTGTTTCATTTATTATAGAGAGTCTCTTAGTTAGTTTTAAATTATTTCTTTCTTTTAGGAGTTCTGTTCTTATTAGGAGTAGACCTTATTTTTCTATTTAAGAAGAAGGATTGTAAACCTCATGAATTAGATTACTTTTATCAATAAAATTTCCCTTATCATATTTTCTTTATGGATTCAAAGTTCATCGTATATTCGAAGATTGTTCTTTATAGATTCAAAGAATGACCCTTGGTGGATTTCGAGGTTTATTATTTTCGTCCTACGTTAATTGGTATCAGAGCCCTGTTTCTTTGATCCGATGACAAGCGACAAAGACCCTATTACCCTAACTTAGATTAAGACTCGCGTAGACCAACTTGCATTAGCAATGGAGTGACTGAACCAGGGACAAGTTCGAGATCATGTTAATGGTCACCAAAGACACGATCGGACTCCTCATGAAGAATTCAACAACAACATTGATGAGTGATAATCACATTTTATTATATTTTTATACCCTCATTATCTATTTGATTTAAATAAAAATATCACTAATAAACATGTTTTATTTTTATACCCTCATTATCTATTTGATTTAAATAAAAATATCACTAATAAACATGTTTTATCTTAATTGCAGGTTAATGAATATCTATTTGATTTAAATAAAAATATCACTAATAAACATGTTTTATCTTAATTGCAGGTTAATGAATAAAAATCCAAAAGAACTAAACATCTCATCTCTCAAAAAGCCTAAGAAGTCCAAGCCCATACACACAAGAGAAGATCAACCAAATAACAAGATGACTGTGTATCGATACCAGTACCAATAGCGGTATCAATATCCGTATCGATAGCAGTATCGATACCAAGTTTACTGTTACAGATTAAAGACTGAAATTGATTAATTTGGGGATTAAGTTTAATCCAAGGGTTGATATTTGCTGTAATACTCTATAAATTGGGGTAAAGAGTGAGGGGTTTGGGGTGTGAAATATTTTATAAAAACTCTTTTTGGAGGGGAGAGTTATTCTTAATTGAGAAGACCTTCCAAATTGTAACTTTCTATTGTAATTAATAAAGAAATATTTTCACATCTTCATTTTTTTTCTTCTCTTTGTTTGATTATGAAAATAAAGGTGAGATGAAGATGAAGATCAAGATGAATGTTTGCTATCACCTTGAGGCTAGAACCCTCTTGGGATGTAAATTTTTTCTTTATTAATAAATTTATCTTTTGCTTTTTTTTGTTTAAATAGTCAAGAGGCTAGAACCCTCTTACCTTAGATTTATTTTAATATTTATAGAGTAGATTTACTCTCATTTCTTTACTTCCTTGTTTTACATTCTTGCATTTATTTTGTAGTTTAAATTTTTTATAATTTATTTTGTAGTTTAGACTCTATTTTCTTGCACTATTCGTTTTGAGTCTAGAACCCTCTTGGGATTAGTTTTTATTTTTGTTTATTTTCCTTTTCTTTGATTCGCCTTAAGGCTAGAACAATCTAGAGAATTGCCTTTTTTTAATATGTAGAACTAATACTTGTGGAAACTCTAGAAATTGTATGAAACTAATTAGTGGATTCAATTCTAGATTCATCCTATCTTTAATTGAATCCTTCATCTT